ACGGATTTGTTGTTCTATTTATTTATGCATTCATTGGTTGATTCTTGTATGTGCCCTGACCGGGGATGGACCCCACAACCTTGGTGTATCAGGATGATGCTCTAACCAACTGATCTATCCGGCCAGGACTCGACCAATTCTTGATTGCAAGGCTATCTTTCCTCTGCTGCCTCCTTAAGCCCACAGTTTTGGCCATAGCTCCTGCGAGCTGGTCAGTTGCCATTTCCCCCAGCCTTCTTTCTCAAGGGAGACGGCCTCATTCCAGGCTCTGGGTTCAGCCAGGGAGTCTGGCTCCATCCTCTATTCCATGTGCAACATTTTAGTTCCCACTACCTCACAGGCCTTGGCTTTGGCCCTACCCACCAATCTGCTTTTCAGTTAGTTCTCTTTCTTGTCCACTGAGATGTTTCCCCTGTTTTTCAGCCTGTTTGTGTCTTGCTAATGTCTTTTAAAACTTGTTCTCTCCTTGTTATTTATTTGGAGCAATGAGTGCTTGTCAAACTTTGCCCTGGCCAGGTAGCTCAGTTGGGTAGAACATCATCCCAATATGCCAAGGTTTTCGATCCCCAGTCAGGGCACAAACAACACATCTCAAAGAGAAAGCTAATACTGTGTAAGGGCTCTCAGCAGGCTGAATAGAAAAATACACAAGATCTGACCCTTTTGTTTGGGGAACAATTCATACTGTTGACATACAATATAAACAAAATAACTGAGAAAGAAAAACAGAGAGATGTAGTCGAGTGTTTAAATTCTTCTCCAGAAAAAGATTCATACATTTCAATATTGACCCCCAGAAAGAAGCACACAATTCTGAATAGACCAACAAACAAGAGAGGAAGAGAAAAATAGAAGTTACCAAAAATTAGCTCCCTGAAGGACTCCAAGGTTAGGTGCTTTTGCTGGCAGGCTTTTCTAATGTTTAAGGAACAGCAGTGTCTACTGTTTATAAATTATTTCAAAACACAGAATAAAAAAAGAATGCTCCTCAATTTGGGTTGTAAAATTGTATAACTCTAATTCTCAAGTCTACCAAAAAAAATAATAAAATAAATAAAAAAGCAAAGGAAATCATAGACCAGGATTTGCAAACGCAAGTGTCTACAAGAGCCAGAAAGTATTATAAAAGGATGAAGTCAATTGGGCATAAAATGGGGAAATGGCAGCTACAGGAACTGGAGAGTGTGTAGCCCATCATCAGGAAATCCAAATCAGATTCTGGGCTGGTCAAAGAAACAAGTCCATGTCATCAGTTTGCAGCTCTGATGTAGGTTGATCTCTACTATAAACATGGATATAAAAGTCCTGAATAAAATACTAGCAAGTCTGCCTTAGCTGGTTTGGCTCTGTGGATAGAGCGTTGGCCTGTGGACTGAAGGGTCCCGGGTTTGATTCCGGTCAAGGGCACATGCCTGGGTTGCAGGCTCGATCCCCAGTAGGGGGTGTGCAGGAGGCGGCCAATCAATGATTCTCTCTCATCATTGATGTTTCTGACTCTCTCTCTCCCTCTCCCTTCCTCTCTGAAATCAATAAAAAATATTTTAAAAAAATACTAGCAAGTCCAATTCAACCTATACTACAATTAAAAAAAAACACAAAAAACTACTATGACCAAGTTACATGTACTCTAAGGGTTTCAAAAATGTTTTAATATATAAAATTCATTTTTTTAAAAAATAACCCATCATCTCAATAGGTCACATTAGAAAAACCCATGTGATCATTTCAATAGATGTTGGAACTTAACTTACTAAATAGCAGAGGTCCAGGGATCAGAGCTGGGTTGGGTATGGGCTGGCAGAGGGTGTCCCAAAGGTGGCGTCTAGGGGTCAAGGCAGCATGACGCCCAGCAGACAGCCCACTCCAAAGAACGGGACGGAAAAGCAGCAGCCAGGTAAAGGTGAGAGGACGGAGCCAGGGGAGACGCGTGGAGGCACAGGCGAGCGCTTCACTGCAGGGCTTGGGCCTTCATGTCCTCTGGTCCTGAGCTGCGTGTACACCCAAGCTACTGAAACGCATTTGAAAACATTCAGCATCCACGTCTCATAAAGTAGCTCTTAAGCCTAAGACGCTAAGGACAAGGCCTTCACACGAGAAAGGATGCATCTAAAGGCAGCCCACTTCAACCTAAAAAAAACAAATGCTTTCCTGTTCCGATTTTCTGAGGAGCCATTTTGCATTTTCAAGATTTTCTACGATAAAAAGGGAGGGGGAGTGCAGTGACAATGACAGGGGAACCTGGGGAGGAGAGGAGACAGTGGGGAGCAAAGAACCTAGTATTTTCTGGGGTCGAATCTCAATCCATCTATTCATGTTAGACCTCAATAACAAAGGCGTTTTTAAAAAATAGTTCAGTCTAAATGGAGGGTGATAGAGTGGTTGGGAACGCGTGTTCCATAAAGACCCCCGCACCTCTACCTCATAGTGTACACAAAAACAAGTCCAGGTGCACTGAAGGCTTCCATGTAAAGCTGTAAAATAAAAATGTGGGAGAAAATACATGGGCTGAGGATTAGATGGGATCAGGCAGTTTAGGGTACGGGCCTCGGGGAGGGAAGATGGTAGATAAGGAGGAGATGAGCCAATGGTCAGGATGTGAGCAAGACAGGCAGAATGTACCAGTCAGCCACAGAGCTGTCCTGCCCCGGAATCCAAGAGTGGGAACTAAAAGTGGGGAGATGAGGGCAACAGGAGATTTGCTGGTGTTTTTTGAAAGAGCCAATAGAAGGCAAGTGCAGGAAATTTAAACCCCTAGGCCAATGATGAGGAACCTATGACACACGTGTCAGAGGTGACACGCGAACTCATTTTTAAAAAATATATATATTTTATTGATTTTTTTACAGAGAGGAAGGGAGAGGGATAGGGAGTTAGAAACATCGATGAGAGAGAAACATTGATCAGCTGCCTCCTGCACACCTCCTACTGGGGATGTGCCCGCAACCCAGGTACATGCCCTTGACCGGAATTGAACCTGGGACCCTTCAGCAGGCCGACGCTCTATCCACTGAGCCAAACCGGTTAGGGCACGAATTCATTTTTTTGGTTGATTTTTCTTTCTTAAATGGCATTTAAATATATAAAATAAATATCAAAAATATAAGTCTTTGTTTTACTATGGTTGCAAATATCAAAAAATTTCTATATGTGACACGTCACCAGAGTTAAGTTAGGGTTTTTCAAAATGCTGACACGCCGAGCTCAAAAGGTTCATCATCACTGCCCTAGACTAGCGAGGGCAACCCTTTCCGGGGACCCCTCTGGCATGCTGAGAGCTTTGTTACTTCCGCTGTAGTAAATTTCACTTCCCTTTTGCTTACCCCTCCCTTGTCCGTGAATTCATTCATGGACAACAAACACAACAGTTCACACTCATGTCTCAAGACCATATACTTATTCCAAGATCAGGAGATCTACTGAACCAGAACAGAAAACGGTAAGTCATAAAACAAGAGGAACACATTTGATTTCCCCTCAAATTAAAAATTTTAGAAAGGTCTTACATCAAAGTGCAGTGATAAATTGAGAGAAAATTTAAAAGGATAAAAAAAAAACCTCTTAAAATCAAGAAGAGAAAGACATATAATGTAACAGCAGTAGATAAATTCATGAAGATGGTGAAGAGGCAATTCTGGCAAGAGCAAATCCAGGCAAGAAACCAATTAACAGACACTCCCCAGCAGAGAACTGCAAATTGAAAAAACCAAGAAGGTCACTTCTCACCTGGCGGAGGAGCAAAAATTAAAAATAGTGATCACACCTGCTGATGAAAGGCTTGCTTGGAAATACTCTCATCCATGGCTGTTGGAAATGTGAATTACAATTAAAAAAAATTCCCTTTTCCTAGTAAAACCATGCCTGGGAAACTACCATGGACATAAAGGCAGCAATTCATTGGGATCTGGCTAGAACCACGTTACCATAGCCAGGTAGTGGTGGCAATCGGGAAACCAAGTGAGTGAAGGAAGGCCCTTTCAAGAAGGGAGTGGAATCCTACGCAGCCATTACTAGTAAAAAGACTGAGGTAGGCCTGCACCCCAACATGGTGGGATTTCTATGTACTCACAGTTAAGGAGAACAGCAAGGTGGAGAATATTGCATGTTAATATGATTCAACTTTAAAATATATATATATATATATATATTGATTTCAGAGAGGAAGGGAGAGGGAGAGAGAGATAGAAACATCAATGATGAGAGAGAATCATTGATTGGCTGCCTCCAGCACATCCCGTACTGGGGATCGAACCCACAACCTGGGCATGTGCTCTGACTGGGAATCTAACCGTGACCTCCTGATTCATAGGTCGATGCTCAACCACTGAGCCATGCCAGCCGGGCATGATTCAACTTTTTAAATAGAATAACACCCATCCCCTCAAAATATAAAACTTCTGAGAGTGTGTGTGTGTGTGTGTGTGTGTGTGTGTGTGAATTGTTAGATAGAGTGGTGGAAGGAAGGAAGTTACTAAGGAAGCAAGCAAGCTAGACAGGCTGTTAACATGGAGAGGGTGGGGAGAGAAACACTACTTAAAAATAAGTCTCTATACTTAAAAACCATGTGTATAATGTGACCCCATCCATGCAAAATTATGTGCATAGAGATGGGGGGAAGGGTGGTCACCAGAATATTAATGATGGTTATCTCAGGGGGTGGAATTGCAGGTGACTTACTTTTTTCCTTATATTTTTTTTCTGCGTTTTAAAGGTTTTATCATGAGTAAATATTATTTATATAATCTGTGGAAAACAAAGCTATGTTTATGGGGGGAGGGGGAGTATTGGCACGTAGAGGTCCCCAGGGGGCCTCATTTAATGAGCACAGAAGATCAAAGATCGATATTTAATTAACATATCAATTGCTGGCATGTCAACTGATGTTTTCGAAAACGCTTGCAGGGTAGGTTCTCTTCCCAGCCAAACTGTCATCTGAAACATTGTTTATAATCCTCCCATTTAACTAAGACTGACGAATGCAATGATTACAAATGCCAACGGGGCAGGAGACATTAAAGGAAGTTTTATTTCAGTGCCCCATCAAATAACTGGATAACTGGATCTCCTGTACTCATCACAGCTTACAAGTCCCTCGCCAAGCTAATCTCCTGGCAACTCCCCAACCCCTTCATCATTGCTTTCAAACTTTTTTGTTAAAGCCTTTTTTCCCCCCCTAGACCTCTCGCTAATGGTTCCTAAAGTCTTCATTTTAAATCTTCAGTCTTGGTTTTGCTCTTCTTACGACTTCCTTCTCACATTGCTTGGCTTCCCTCAGCTGGGCATGCCTCTTGCGTTAAATGGGCACCGATTTCCCTCTTCTCGCATGCCTTCTCTCCACGCACCTGCCGGGTTCGGAGGAGGGCTGCAGGGGCTCAGACCTGTATGCGCAGAGCTTGGACATGCCAGGCTCTCGAAAAACAATAGGGTCAGCAGGTTAAACAGGAAGTTGGGCCTCACCGGCTCTTTCTTTCACAACATGTATGGAGCACTGCTGTATGTCCAATGTCCAGCAGCCAAGGATTCCCCGGTGAATGGCCCCGGAGAGATCACAACCAGTTGTGTGGTCAGCGCTGGGGAAGCACCTGGGGAGGATGCCACTCTAGGGAAGGCGGTGGGGGACGGCTGCTGGAACTTGGCCAAGACATGAGCAGCATCCCCATCGCCTGGGAACTGGCTGAAAATTCTAATTCTCGGGCCCCACTCCCGACCTTCCCAAGCGGACACTCGGGGGTGCGACCCAGCAGTGTTTTACCAAGTCCCCCGGGGGTTCTGACGCACCTAGAATCGGATATCTAGGCTCTAGTGGAGCCCTGAGTGAGGATCTTGAGAGGAGAGGACGAGGAGGAGGGAAAGGAGGCTCTGTGACGGCCGGTCCAGGGGGTTAGACTTTGCCCCGTAGGTGCTGCCTCCAGGGTGGCGACAAAAGCCGGGGCCTGCGCACTTATGCAATCTCTCAACTCGGCGCGGCTGGCAGCTCAGGCATTCCCTGTGCACCTGGGTCCCGGGAAGGTGCCGAGTTCCCTCACCCCCCAAACGCCAGGCGGCGCGCAGAAGGGAGGTCGGCTCGCAGACATCTCCGCACCGCGGAGCCACGCGTTTGCGATCCCAGAGGAGGTGAGCCCACGCGGGAGCTGGGGAACCAGCGAAGCCAGGAGAGGAGGTGCCGGGACCGACGCCCACTCCGGCCCAGCGGGCGGCCCCGCGCGCCCAGGCCCCGCCCCCGGCCTGCGGGGCGCGGCGATTCGAGACCTCGGGCCCCGCCCCCGGCCCGGCCCCGCCCCGGCCCCGCGCGCTCGGCCCGCCTCCCGCGTGGGGGGAGCCGTGTCGGCCCGCGCCCCTGCGCGCGCCCGCGGCCGGGTTGCAGGGCCGAGCGCGCGCCCCGCGGCCGGGGCAGGAAGATGGTGGCGAGCGCGCGGGTGCAGAAGCTGGTGCGGCGCTACAAGCTGGCCATCGCCACGGCGCTCGCCATCCTGCTGCTGCAGGGCCTGGTGGTGTGGAGCTTCAGCGGCCTGGAGGACGACGAGCCGGGCGAGGTGCTCTGACGGCCGGGCGCGGGGCGCGCGGGGTCCTGGCGGGGCTGAGGGCGGCCGGGGCTGGGGACGTGGGGCACGGGCCGCAGGCGTGCCTGACGCGGGAGGCCGTCTGGAGCTGGGCACCCGACTCCTGGCGCCCCTTCCCCGGCGGGCCTGGGGGGCTGCACGCGCGGCGGTGCGCGTCCCGGAGGCTCGGGCCGCAGGCGGGCCGGGGGCCGGAGCGGGAGCAGCGGGTCTCGGCGGGGTGGTCTCCGGCCCGGGGAGCAATGAAGGTCAGGCGCGGGGCGCGGGGCCGGGAGGCGGGGCTGGGCCCGAGCCTGCTCCGGGGTGGGGAGCCCCAGGCCAAACTTTCTGAAGTTGGGAGGGGGCTGGTGTGCGCGCCGCGGGCGGAGGCGGGAGGCCGAGGGACCCCCAGAAGCGCCTGGCGGGCAGCGGCGGGTGGGGACGTGGAGGCCGGGGTGGAACTCAGTCCAGCAACTGAGGGAACAGGCAGTGACCCCGAGGGAAAGACCTACTAGTGTCCGAGGCGCGGCTTTCTTAGCCCCGCGACGCCAGGGGTCTGTGGAAGCTGCACGGGTCTTGGGTAGGAGATGCCAGAGGCGGGTGGGGAAGCGTGAACTGGTGAGTCGACCTCGGGGAATTGGCTCCAAGGGAGTGGCGGCGGCAGAGCTGGCTCAGTGGAGCCCCAGGCCCTGGAGCGGGGCAGACCCACCCTGCTCACTCCCAGGTCCCTGCGCCCCAAGGTCTCAGGTGCTGACACTCTTGGCTCACCATGGTTTCAGCTAGAGGCCCGCGTAGGTCCTTCCCCATGTGGTCCGGAGTCCAATGGGGCCTAAGGCTGACCTGGAAGGTGGGGGAGGAAGGGCCAAATCCCGGCCCTAGGCTGTGGGCCAGAGGGCAGTTCCCCTGTGCCCACCCCGCCCCCTGGGGTTGGCTCTGAGGCGGGCGCTCTGTCTGCCTCGTCCTGTCCTCTCGGGCCTCTCCACCTGGCAGGGTGAAGACCACGTTCCCTCTGTGCATCTGGGCCGTCGGGGAGGCCTGGTGTGGAGGCTGGTTGAGAGCTGTCCTTGCCTTTTTTGGGAGAACCTAGAGGCTGGGATGGTGAGGGGAGATGGGACATAGTCACGGGAGACCATAACTCCTAACGGAGCTGAGGGTGGGGCGTGGGAGGCTGGCTCTGGGCATCTGAAGGAGTGAGCTTATTCTGTGGACCAATGAGTAGGAGGAAGAGAATGTTTGGGGCTCAGTGTCAGAAGGCTCTTCCGGCAGAGGAGACATCCTAAGACCGAATGGGCTGCCAAGGCAGGCAGGGAGGCCTCTGACCCTGGAGGAGGTGAGCAGGGGCCAGCGGCCTCTGGGGAGGGGCACGGCGGCCTCTGCAGCCGCATAACCCTGTGAGTCTCTGGATGGCCCCTGAGACTGAGAGACTGTGCAGGCTTAAAGTCCCTGCTGCCCTCGGGCGGGGACCTGGGGTAGGGGCGTGGTTGGGATCCCCCTTCCCCCCTCTTCCTGGCAGAAGCTGCTAAGGAAATCCTGGGCTGGAATGGAAGATGATCCTTGGTGATTGAGACTGTGTAGTCCACGTAGCCATCAGTGCTTGGCCCCCTCAGCAGCCACCTCACCAGGTCTTGGGGTTACTGGGCAACATCACCTAGAGCTTAGGAAGATGGACACTGAAGCTGGACTGCCCCACTTGGCCGTCCTGTGTCCTCTTCCAGCGCTGCTGCTGAGTCGTGGGTGACCACTGACAAGTCACCTACCCTCTCTGTGCCCCCATCAGTGTCTCCCCTCACGATGGGGATCCTAATAGCACCTCTCTCGCTGGGTGACTGTAACAGTTACATGAAAATGATGCCTGTGAAGTACTAGTATTTGCAGGAGTTCCTGGCATCTGCTAAGCCATCAGTAAATAACTCGTTATCCCAGCACTGCACATTGGAGTAGGGATTCATTCATTCATTCATTCATTCAACAAATATTTACTAAGTCCTACTTGGTACCAAGCACTATGCTAATACTGGGAATACAGAAATAAACAACATAGACAGGGTCTCAGCCCTCACGGGCAGACAGTCTGCAGGGAGAGCCCCACAGGGGAAAGGAAACTCATTGGAATAACAAGGGGGCTGGTTTAGGTCCCTTGGTCTGGGAAGGCTTCTGCTGAAGGTAGCTTGTGAGTGGAAGGAGCCTGAGGGAGAGGGGGCCGAGTTTGGGCAGAAGGCCCTGAGTTGAATGGGCTTGGCTCGCCTTCGAGGAATGAAAGGAGGGTGTGGTACGTTCCCTGGAAGAAGGCTCAGGAGTTAGTCCAGGGGGCATCCTAGAGACCAGTGAGGGCTGAGGGACTTAGTGTGAGTGCAGTGGGAAAGCCCAGAAGGGGGCTGCGCAGAGATGGGATCTGATGTGCACTTAGGATGCACACTCTGCCCATGTGTGGAGGGGGCTGGCGTGGAGACCAGGATGATCATTAACATCCAGAGAGCCAGTTTATCGAAGCTTCCACAGACACTGCCTCGCTGCTCCTTCTAAATGCAGCCTGAGAAGTCCCAGGGAGGTGGGGTGTGGGGCAAGCAGCACTGCTCTCTCTGTTTTCCCCGGCTCAGAGGATCCCGGGGAGTTGCAGAGCCCCAAGGTGGCAGAGGACTTCAAATGCCTTTGTGGGAGGGGGGGGGGGGGGGGCTTAGAGGCCAGAAGGCATCCAGGTCAGAGGGACAGTCCCCACCCTCCGTAATCAGAGGGGACCCTGCCCTCAGGGACTCTGACCTCAAGGACTCCTGGGGACAGCTCCTTTAGCAGCCCTGCAGCTACCCATCTGCACACGCCTGGAAGGGGGCAGGGCCAGGGGCTGGCTGTCTACCATGGACCCTCTTCTCCCTCATTCCTCACTGCTGCCTCCTGGCCCCCCGGCCTCCTCAGGGATTGTCCTTCTCCGAGGCAGCCAGCTCCCTGCTGCAGTGCAGGGTACCAGCATGCCCATCTCCTCCCACATCCTGCCTCCCACCACAGCCGACCTGGCCCTGTGCCCTGGACCCTGCCCTCCTGACCAGCTTTCTGACTTGCTGAGACTGGCTCCCACCCTGAGAGCCCACAGCTCCTCTGCCATCTCTGCCCACCTTAGCTTGAGGGTATCTTTGTCCATTGTGTGGCCAGATCAGACGTCGCCAGGTTGACACTCAGCTCAGGGGAGCTGCATTCACCTTTCCTGGGGACTGCCCAGTTCAAGGTGTCCTCTCCTACGTGGGCACAGAATAGGGTCTGCTGCCTCCTCCCCACCCTGCCCTCCCTCTTGCAGATGCCCCTTCTCAGATGGGAGTAAACACTCCCGGCTCTCATGAGATGAGCGGGCTGGCTGGGTGCGGGGCACAAAGGGCATGGGTGCTAGGGTGGAGGCGTGGGGCTCTGGCCCTAAGGTGGCCGTCAGCCTGACATGTGAGGTGCCGCGCTCCACGCTCCAACAGGGAAGAGGAAGAAGGCCCTAGAGAGGTGAGGGGCCGAGAAAAACCAACACAACAGCGTCCAAAGGGTCTGCGGGCCTTGGGCCCTCTCCTGACATCACATTGGACTAGGTCCGTGGTCGGCAAACGGCGGCTCTTTGGCCCCTTGAGTGTGGCTCTTCCTAAGCCTTAGGAGTACCCTAATTAAGTTAACAACAATGTACCTACCTATATAGTTTACGTTTAAAAAGTGTGGCTGTCAAAAGAAATTTCAGTCGTTGTCCTGTTGATATTTGGCTCTGTTGACTAATGAGTTTGCCGACCACTGGACTAGGTCCTCCTCCCCTTCCAGCAAGAATAATTATCAAGTTCTAGCCTCTGCCAGGAGCTTTCTATTCCTTCGTTTCACTCATTCACGCGACAAGTATTTGCTGAGTGTGCACCGCGGCGGGACATTCTGGGCTCTCGGGATACATCAGTGAGCAGAACGGGCCCTGTCCTCCTGCAGCTGTCCTTCTTGGAAGGGGAGGGGCACAGAATAACAATATAAATCCATGGTGGGAGGAGAGCAGGCAGCAAGTGCTAATGGGAAAATAAAGCAGAGATGAGGGCGGGCTGGAGTTTTAGATACAGTGTTACCGTGGGCCATACTGAGAAGGTACCACCTGAGCCAAGAATTGAAGGAGGCAAGAATGAGGCCCGCAGGGCGCTGACGGAGCAGAGGAGAGCGACTGTCCCAGTGACCTGTGCCTGCCTGTCTGTTACAGAAAGGAAGACAGAGGAAGCCACGGCCCCTGGACCCCGGCGAGGGCTCCAAGGACACAGACAGCTCGGCGGGGCGGCGCGGCAGCGCCGGCAGAAGGCATGGGCGCTGGCGGGGCCGTGCCGAGAGCCCAGGTGTGCCCGTGGCCAAAGTGGTGCGGGCAGTTACCAGCCGGCACAGAGCTAGCCGGAGGGTCCCTCCCGCCCCGCCCCCAGAGGCCCCTGGCCGCCAGAACCTGAGTGGGGCAGCAGCCGGGGAGGCGTTGGTCGGGGCAGCTGGCTTCCCCCCACATGGAGACACAGGGAGTGTGGAGGGCGCCCCCCAGCCCACGGACAATGGCTTCACCCCAAAGTGCGAGATTTTGGGCAAGGACGCGCTGTCCGCACTGGCCCGGGCCAGCTCCAAGCAGTGCCAGCAAGAGATCGCCAATGTGGTGTGCCAGCACCAGGCCGGGAACCTCATGCCCAAGGTTGTGCCCCGGCACTGCCAACTGGCTGGTAAGGGACAGGCCTGGGTGGGGAGGTGGCAGCCCTGGGAGGTGACATGGCAGGGACCCCACTCCCCTGTCTCAGAGGAGACAGCTCAGAGGGGGCGCACCTCCTTGCCTGGCTGGGTGACAAGCATACCAAGTGGCAGAGGGGGCCCTGGCCCAGGAGTGTTGGGCTCCACGGCCAGATTCTTCCTCGGACGGCAGGCGGCTCCCTCTTCCCATCTGGCCTCCACCCTGCGACGGGCAGGGCCTCACTGATGCCCTGCTCTCCTCACAGGGAAGGTGAACCCCGGCCTCCAGTGGGAGGAGGCCCGGGCCCAGCAGCCCGTGGAGGGCCCCCCAGTACGAATCGCCTACATGCTGGTGGTGCACGGCCGCGCCATCCGCCAGCTGAAGCGTCTCCTCAAGGCCGTCTACCACGAGCAGCACTTCTTTTATATCCACGTGGACAAGGTACTGGGGGGAGACCCAGGGGTTCTGGGTGAGCAGAGCGGAAACCAGGAAGGTCACAGACACACAGGGTTTCTGACCTGCTCAGGTGGCCCAGAGTTAGGGGAACAGGCCTCGAATAGGGCGCACCAGCACCAGGTGACACGTGCTCTCCATTCCTTGCCAGTTGTACTCTGTCCCAGGTTGGGGTGGGGAGGTCGTAATGCTGAGGGCCCACCTACAGCTGCTAAGAATCTCCCCCCACTCCCCAACCCCCCTTAGCGCTCCAACTACCTGCACCGGGAGGTGGTGGAGCTGGCGCGGCAGTATGATAATATTCGCGTGACGCCCTGGCGCATGGTCACCATCTGGGGCGGGGCCAGCCTGCTGAGGATGTATCTGCGGAGCATGCAGGACCTGCTGGAGGTGCCTGGCTGGGCCTGGGACTTCTTCATCAACCTCAGTGCCACCGACTACCCAACCAGGTGGGGGGGTGCTCTGAACCTCCCGATGGGAGGGGGCGCATGTGGGCCCTGGGGTTGGAGGGTCCTGGTAGACCCCTTCCCCTCCCCAGGCCTCATTCTGGGATCCACGCAGCCCAGATTCCTTCTCCTGTCTTGGCCTCAGCCATGTTTTAGGGGAGGGGTTGGTGAATGATGATGTGAGGATTGAGAGTGACAAGAGATGGGGAGGAGGAGGAGCCAGAGGTGTGTACGGGGGGGTGCTGGGTCAGACAGCAAGGGGTACAGGAAGGATGGGGTGGTCTTTCTCGGGGGCCTCAGGTACCCATCACCCTGGGGTAGGGCACATGGTCTGGAGGCCAAGAGGTGAAGGTGACGAGGGCTGGAGGGAGTCCGCTCTGGGCCAGCGACTGAGCAACCCCTCACACACTGCCCACACCCATCCCCTCTCCAGGACCAATGAGGAGCTGGTGGCTTTCCTGTCCAAGAACCGGGACAAGAATTTCCTCAAGTCACATGGCAGGGACAACTCCAGGTGAGGGGCTTGGGGAGAGGGCCCTGGTCTCAACACAACCCCTCCCACCGGGGGATGTGGGTGCCCAGCCAACCAATCACAGATGGAGGTGGATGGGACCCCCCCCTACGCAACCCCCAGCCTGGGCTGGTCTGCTACCCACAGGTTCATCAAGAAACAGGGCCTGGACCGGCTCTTCCATGAATGTGACTCGCACATGTGGCGCCTGGGCGAACGGCAGATCCCGGCGGGCATCGTGGTGGACGGCGGCTCCGACTGGTTCGTGCTGACGCGCAGTTTCGTGGAGTACGTGGTGTACACGGACGACCCGCTTGTGGCCCAGCTGCGCCAGTTCTACACCTACACGCTGCTCCCGGCCGAGGTGGGTGGCCCGCCCTGACCCAGGCCAGGGAGGGAGCATGGTGGGGTGCCCGCCGCTCACCGCCCGCCCTGCCCTGCCCTGCCCCCTGCAGTCCTTCTTCCACACGGTGCTGGAGAACAGCCCGGCCTGCGAGAGCCTCGTGGACAACAACCTGCGGGTCACCAACTGGAACCGCAAGCTGGGCTGCAAGTGCCAGTACAAGCACATCGTGGACTGGTGCGGCTGCTCCCCCAACGACTTCAAGCCACAGGACTTCCTACGGCTGCAGGTGCTCCCCTGGCCCCAGTCGCTGCCCCTTGCTAGGGCCTCGCCCCGGCCTTTCGCCAGGTCAGAAAGGACTCAGGGTGGGCCAATCAGAGGAGCGAGGGCCTTCACCTGGAGCTGCCCTTGGTGCTCTGGGGTGACTGTGGCCGATCTGGGGTGCTGGAAGGGGCCCCTGGGGCCTCCAGACCCCTTACCATGCTTGCTCTCCCCCTCCAGCAAGTCTCTA